AGCCAGCCATGTAGTGCAGAATGAGCTGTCAACATCTTCTGAGCGAGACAGATCACACACAAAGGGCAGTGTGCATATGAAATAAAGGGCAGAAAAAAGATGAAATAAACAAGGATCCAACAGGCAAAGTGAGAAAGTCTCTGCTTTACCAACAGATGGAGTTCAGCCTCAGAGAGCAGAGCTCTTCCTTGAACATGACAAGAGGCTGAGTTAGTTACAAAAGGAAAAGCACAACTCAAACTCACCTGAGTTTCTAAAATGATTTTGTGGGACTTTGTAATTTCTTTCTAGAAAGCAGGTAAGCCTTAGTAAAGCTTATTCATTGAACTTCCTAATTTTACAATACATGTATTAGAACATGGATTCTAGAAAAAAAATAACAGTCCTGTCAGCGAATGGCGCTGTGTCACGCAGTGTGATTTGTCCAGAAATAAAATTAATGCAAATACAAGGGATGACTAATTAGCACTTGAACAATAATGACTAGTAATAATTTGCAAAAATACCTGTTCCTAATCATAATCTTATGACAAGATTCAGATTCCAAAGAGTACCTTTAAATGTCATTGACTAAACTCAGATAATGAAAATGTACATCTTATAAGCTGTTCACAGACATTCCATGAATAGAAACAGAATTTTAAATTAGATCAGTAAATGATGTGTTGTATTTGTTCAGCTGTATTTATTATTCATTTAGTATATCTTGTTATTAAAGGTGATACTTTTTTAAATCTAGAAAGATTATTCTGTTGCCTTAACCATGACCCATAACAATTTTAATTTTTTTAGATTATGTGATTAATATTTTTCTCAAAAAAATTGTATAGCCAGTAAATCAATCTTTTTTCCTATTTTTTTAGCATGTCCACCAGCTAGATCTATTTGATTTGAAAGTAACATGAAAGATAATTCTCAAAGTTTGGGTAATAATAACAATAACAGAATCTAATTAGTTAATTACTGCATATAGACAACATCCAAGTTTAAATTCTAAGGATTTTTATTGCCATGTAAATTGTTCTTTAGTCACTCTTTAGGTTTTTTTGGGATTGTTTTCAGATGTTTCTTTTGTGGTTTGTTCCTGATTTCCAGGTACTAGTGATCAGACTTACTGGACTCCAATCATTTGTTGGGCTTCCTCTTGGCAGATTTTGGCACTCTCAACAAAACACTGTGCAAGAACTTGCAAAAACAGGATTAGTAGGTCTGTCCATGAGTGTGGGTTGTGGTTCCCGTTTAAAAACCACCTGAGGAGAAAGTGAAAGAAAATGTCTGTGGATTTGGTTTTTGTTGTGGGGTGCCAGGGAGCGATGGTGTGTGTTTCTGAAATGTAGGGGCAGCAATTTCAAAAGTCTGCCTCATGCAAACAACCTGCTAGTGGGGTTTTAACAGCAGTTTGCCTGCATCTATTAAATATGTTAAACATCTTTAAATCTCATTGAAATCCCATTGTTTTGGGTTTTTTTAAGGACTGGACCAATTTTATCAATAGCATGTGTATTTTGACACATTTGAGTTAATTTAGTCCAGTACTTCCTCGAAAAACCATGAAATTTGCTTAATATATGTGGTGTAACAGAAAGTATTCCTACATTCATCAGAGAAAAAGATAAAAATTGAAGATGAAGATCAGAGGAGAGGTGTACAGTCTAAAAATCTCCAGAACAAGTTATTTCATGGTTCGCTACCTTTGTATTTACTGGTAATCTTTGGTAATTATAGGTATTCTTCTTTTATTCATAGATATATTTGGTCTGGTTTTTGAAATCTATTTTGTTCTGGATTGACATTTCATAGAGTAACTTAATGTAGCGCAAAAATATTTCCATTTACATATTCTAATTTTTCCGTCTTTCACTTTTATTGAATATTCCTATGATCCTGAACTGCAGAAATGCAGAAGCAAAGTCCCTAATTTATCTTCATACTGTGTTTTATTTTATATACATTCATTAATTGTCTCCTAAATTTACAATGCAGATCTTTTAATTTCTGTCAAATGTAAGTTCTTTCATGTCCTTAATAATTTTTATGCCTTCCTCTGTGTTTAATTTCTTGTACTTTTAGTTTTTTGTTGTTGAAATAAATTATGCTTTTAGTAACAGTTAGATTTTTAGAGGTCTTTTCCAACCCAGCCGATTCTATTATTTTATGATAGAATATGCAGAATTGTCACCAGACCGTAAATTATAAACCATCATATAGTGCTATTTTCAAAATTGTTTTTGGAGACATATAAGAACACTGTACTTCTTTTTCAGTTCTTTGTCCTTTTTGCTTCTAGTTCTTTCTTAGTACTTGTCTTACAAATGAATTTGAAAATTGGAAAACAGAGGCCCTGGAAAACTTGAAGAATGCTGTAGTTTTCAGTATCTCACACATGAATGGTTCATATAGAATCCTACAAAATGTTCCCATGGCTTTTTTTTTTATTCAAATGCTAATATTATTCCTATATGAATACAGTAGCTGATTGTTTTGATTTATGTTCATATATTTTCAGATACTAACCAGTAGTGGGGTTTTTTTGACTAACCTGTTCTACTACTAACAGTAGAACAGTTCCCATCTACCTGGATGGCAGTAGAGCAAAAATCTCAAAGATTGGAATTTATATTAGTTGGCAAAATGACATGGAAAGCAGTCAAATGGAAAAGCAGGCCAAGACACGCATCATATGAGAAATGAAAATAAAAGAAAATGTGAATATTTGGATGTGTAGAAGCCATGAAAACCATAACAAGAAGAGTGATAACTAAGGGAAAAGAAGTGGTTTGTGAGAAAAGATTTTGAAAAAGACTTGTGGTATAGAGGCCAAAGAATGACATAGCCCAAGAAAAAAATTCTGAAGCCTTGACAACTGGTGGTGAGAAAAGATTAGTCATTGAGAATGGTTGAGCTGGAATAGCAGAATTAAAAGTTGGAAATCACCTTTTTAGAAACATTGAGGGGGGGGAAGTAATTAAATGCCACAAATCTGTCTCACTTTTGCCTTTTGCCCTTGTAAACATTGTTCTCATTGAAACTGCCTGATTGGTGTATGTATACAAGTTGGTTCTTTGCTTTGCATGTAGCCAGAATTTTCCTTGGTGGAAGACTTCCGTTACATGTCACAACACTAAATAAGTGATATTCAGTGATTTTAATCTTCTTGCTAAATTTCCTGGTTAGAAATTTGACAAATGGCATTTGTATTCATTGTTTATTCTGTGAAATCAGTAAATTTTCCTGAGTGTGTGGAATTTGAAAACAAGTTCTGTCATGTCCCCATATCAGGATGTATATAGGTTCCGTCACTCAAGTGTATCTTTTTATTTTGTTATTCAACCTGCTACTTCACCTGGGAACTTCAAACATTATTCAGGACCATCTCATTACAGTATACAAATTTAGACCAAAAGAAGTCTTCTGCAAATAGACCATGGTATAATACAAGAAGAAGGTACAGTTCTATAAATGTCTTTCATTTGCATAGGCCAATCAGATTTGCCAAAGGAAATAATTGTTCATGGCAATCCTGTTCAATGTGCTCTAGGAAGGCCCTCCTTTAGCAGGGAGGTTGGACCAGATGACCCTCCCAGTGATCCCGCCCAAACTTACCCTTTCTGTGATTCCCTGCTTCCAGATGCCAGTTTCTGTCTCTGTGCTACCCTGGCCTTTTGGCTGACACAAGTAATTGAATGGTTGCACAGTGACATGAATCAAGGAACTGGTTTAGCTGAAAGGTAACCTAGCAGAAGAAAAATGTTCAAAGTTCAACACCAAGTTCTGTTTCTTCTCCGTTAGAAGCAAAATCAAATTAATCATAGCAAAGTGCAACTACACTTATTTCCAGCATGTTTTATGTTCTTAAAGAACCTGAGACAAAGTCATTGATGTTTTCAAAGTTAAGCCATTCAATATCTTACTAATTTTGTTGTTTGGTTGGGGGGGTTATGTCTGATTTAAATTTCTGTGCTGCACTATTATCTTTTTACTTTTGCCTTATTTACTATGAATCTGGATACCAAATGGTTCCCTTTAACCTCCTTTCTTTACTCTAGTATTTTAGACTCGTATTTGTTCTCCTCTGTCTCTTCCCAAGTCTAAGCAGTCCCAATTTGTTAACAGCTTCCATTTGCTTGGTTTTCTTTCTAGTGTAGTGGGTTGACCCTAGCTGAACGCCAGGTACCCACTAAAGCCACTCTCTCACTCTCCCTCTGCAACTGGACAGAGGAGAGAAAAATACAACTAAGGATTCATAAGTAGAGATAAGAGCTGGGAGAGGTCAGTTATTGATTACCTTCACGGGCAAAACAGATTCAAAGTGGGGATATTACTTAAATTTATCACTAACAAAACCAGAGCAAAAAAGTGAGAAGTAAAATAATCTTAAAAACACCTTCCCCCCACCCCTCCTTCCTTCCATGTTCTCCCTCCTTCCCACTCCAGCAGTGCAAGGGATGGGGAATGGGGTTACTGTCAGTTGTTGTTTCTACCGCTGCTCAAAGACAGGAGTCCTTCCCCGGCTCCTGTGGGGTCCCTCCCATGGGAGACAGTTCTTCACGGACCTCTCTGGCATGAGTCCATCCCACAGGCAACAGTTCTTCACGAAACTGCTGTCCTGTGGGTCACTCCTCCATGGAGTGCAGTCCTTCACAAATGAGCTGTACCGATGTGGGTCCCCCACAGGGGCCACAAGTCCTACCTGGGAGAAACCTGCTCCAGAATGGGCTTCTCACTCCATGCGCTGCAGGTCTCTGGCAGGACCCTGCTCCATCTTGGGCCTCCCACAGGGTCACAGCCTCCTTCATGCATCCACCTGCTCCAGCATGGGCTTTTCCATGGGGTGCAGATGGATCTCTGCACCCTGATGGTCCTCCACGGGCTGCAGGGGCCTCAGCTCTGGTGCCTGGAGCACCTCCTGCCCCTCCTTCTGCACTGACCTTGGTGTCTACCTTGTTGTTTACATGTTCTCACTCTGCTCTTCCCTGGCTGGAATTCTTTCTGCACAATACCTTTCTGATCTTAAATATGTTATCACAGAGGGGTTACTATCACTCCTGATTGGCTCGGCCTTGGGCAGTTGCAGGAAGCCTGTCCTGGAGCCAGCTGGCATCGACTCCTCCAAAGAGGGGAAGCTTCTAGCAGCTTCTAACAGAAGCCACCCTTGTAGGCCACCTGACTACAAAAACCCAGCCACAGAAACCTACTACACCTAGCCTTTGAGTTTTCTTCTTACAGTTCTTTGCCAAACTTTTTCTTGAAAGAAATGTCCAAAGCTGTACATGATTCCAGCTGCGAACACACTGATTTTGAGGAAAAGGTCAATAAAATCAGAGAACAGAATAGGAAGCCTGCTTCATTTTAATTACTAAAGAGTAATCTTTTCTTTGTTTTGTGTAAACCCCTTTACTAGCTCTAAGCTCTTATCTCTTGCTTTATTCAACTTCCTTGAATTTTTGATGTTTCTTCAGCTTCCTTGAATCCTTTGTATTGAGAATTAAGCCCCATATGGGCCATTCATTTAAGAGTTGGACTCGATGTTCTTTGTGAGTCCCTTCTAACTCAGAATATTCTGTGATTATGTGATTCTGTGAAATTATATTTGTAAAAGTTAAGTGATCAGTTGAAAAGCTTTCAGCCCCAAAATATGGATCCCAGTCTATCTCTTTACAATTATATGAAAATATACAACACAGTAAATGCTCATTTCGAAGTGAAGTTGAAGTAGAGGACATCTTAAAAGCCATCATTGTTTTGTTGGTAATGTTATCAGCGTACAGCACAGGAACCAGCTAGAAAAAAGGTTTTACAGTTTATTTTCCATTTTACCTCTCTTTTGTGCCCATTTGTTTTCCATTATGCTATAAAATGGTGTTAAGGCAGCATAAAACTCTGTTAATGCAACATAAAATGCTATTATGAAATACAATGCCTGAGATTCTGGAAACAAAATTAAAACTCAAATATTCCCTGTATACCTGCTTTAAATTCTGTCATAAAATAATAATAATCTGAAATTGTTGAGATAACCATTCCAGTGTTCTGCTTTTTGCACTTAAAAATAAATAAATAAATAAAAACAACAATTTGAGTAGTTCCACTGGTGAATTTTTTATATTTATGTATTTTCCAAAATGTTTTTTAGGTACCAGTACTGTAAATGTTAGCATTGAAATGGAAAAGTATACTATTTTGTCACCTAAGTATTCCAAGATATTTAATTAAAAATAAATAAAGAAATTCTGGCATAGAACAATACCATTCACTATACTATTTGAGCACTGTGCCAGACCCACGAGCCTCCAAAATATGAGGACAGAAGACTATTCTGAAAACATGCCCAGTGCAGTTCAGGAAGTAGGAGTTTGTCTCTGTAAATTCCCAACCATATTATTTTAAGAAATTGTTTCAAAGTCAACTGGAGACAGCAGCATTAAGAGAGTTTACAGAGATCTTTGAAACACCAAGAGTGTATTTTCAGAAAGACGGCCCTGGGAAATGGAGCATTAATCTAAGTGACAGCGACCTCCTCATAGTCAGGGAAGCCCTGGACACAGTGTGATCAGTGAACCAACCGCTGTATAAATGCAAAGGAACTCAGTAGTGCGTGAATGGCATGTGAATTGCACTCACCGTGAATTTGATGTTAAATCCACTGTGTAAATATAGTAAATACAGTGCACTGGATTTACTAACTGCCTGTTATCTCTGCAGTTAATTAGCTGATCACCTATGTAATTTGAAAACTTGAAAATAACAACAGAATGTAAAGTGGCACTATCTGATTCTGGAAAAACAATAACAGGCATCTAATTACAACTCCTGAAGAAAATCACCTTAGTGACAAATCTGAAAGTATTTTTTTTTAAAAAATAGCCATGGACATGAAACCTGTCTTCTATCTGAGGCCCAGATTCAGTATTCAATCCAATTATTAAAGGCAAATGAGCTGCATTTTCTCAGTTACCCAGTCTTTGGAATCCTCTCTTATTTGCCCTTCAGACTCTAATTTTTATATTTTTAGTTTAGAGTGACTTTTTCAGTTCCTACCATGTTGCAATTTTCTCCTGACCCCTTTGGTATTTCCAAATAGCTTTGTACATGCTCTGCTCTCCCTCTGCTACCAATCTCAAGGGAATATTTCTCACAAACAAGAAACCAACTTCCATTCATGATGATCTGTTTCCTGTTATGCTACCCTCTACCACTGGAAACTACAGTACCAACCTGCTATTTGCACCTCAGACATCCATAAAGCATTGATGTTTTTCCTCCAGAAATCCCGTTTCACTTGTCATGATAAACTCAAAACAATATAAAAGTTCGCATTATTGCAACACTAACCTGAGTACAATCTCTGCCCATGAAAATGCTCAATATTGCATCTCTCCATCTCCTCTTCCATATTTCTTTATACACATCTGTTGTGTCAAGTGGGCCGTATATTTCTCTTCTCACATGTATGTGTGCTTATACACAACACACCTATGATAAGCATCCACTGCTGCCCATCCTGCAGTAGGACATGCCATGTGTGCTGGCACATCCTGCAACAAGGGTTTCTTATTTCTTTCTTCATCTACAAAACATTTCTTAGAGAATGAAGCTATCATTGTTAAAAGTTTTGGTCACTAGAGAAAGTTTGTTTGTTGAATGCATTAATTTATTTTTAGATCAGTCACAGTGCAGAAATGAATAGAAATATCCTCACTATTGTGGCTAAATATTTTGAAATGTCAAACCACAGCCCGGGGCTGTTTGAGCAAATAATAAATAATATATCTTCTTTGCCTGAAGTAGCATATTATACACAATTTTGATGACTTTCCAGTACTTGGTAATACAGAAGGCAAAGATTGTGAGTATTTGGTAATATTTTTAAGTACGAAAAAGTTTGAATAGTAATTTACAGAATAGTTACTTATAGATTTTAAAGATTTGATTATTTATTGTTTTTCCTCTAGATCCTCCTTAAGAAAAAGTTGTTGAAAACTGATTTTAAACTTATGAAAAGCCCAAAAGCAATTTATGAAATAATTTAAGTAGCACATTAAAGAGAAATGTAGTTTTAACTTCATCCTGTGAAGTTTTTAATTTATTTGTTTTGAGTAAGAAGCAATGTGTCATGGAAGTAGTAACTATGTAGTACAATACCAGAAGATTCAATCTTGCAGAAGCAGAATAATTAATATAATTCAGATAACTAATCTAAATACAGCTGAATATAACACATCTAATTAATATATGAGTTAGGAAGAATTACATTTTTCTACATTCATGAAAAATATATGCAAAATGTATATCTGTTCTGATTGCTTTAGTTTTTACAAAGGGTTTAATCACCTTGAAAGATGAGTTGTTGCATTAGGAACAATGTGTCTATGCGTACGGTTTTTACAAACTTTTCTGTTTTTCTCTGAGACTAATATTGTAACAGCTTCTGTAATTTATTTTTTTTTTTTTGTTCTGAGAAAGTGAAATAAAAGTCTCTATTTCTCTGCTACAAATTAAGCAGACAATTAAAAAAATGGAAAATTTGAGTGGTAAAGACTAGAGGGTTTTATTCTTCCAAGAGAGACATGTTTTTCGCCTGAGTTTGAAATCGACTGAAGTATTTAACTTTTAAGCTAGTCTTAATACCGTGCTCAATTTACATTCTTGTTAAGCCTGGTTAGAAGCAGAGGATTTCAAAAAATATGAATGAAAGTTATACCTTATTTCAGTCAACAGCACTGAATTCAATGTAGCCCAGATTTGCCTAGAATATGCAATATTATATAGAATGTTATGAATGCCCGGTGATTTTGTTTAATGCATAATCATCAGTAAATCATCATCCACCATGACCTGCATGATGCATTTACAAGTAATGTGAAAGAATGAACAGTTTATGTAATAGAATTATTTTAGGTAGTGGGTTTCAATGTGGATTCAGACTTTTTTTTTTTCCAGGATTTTACTAAGTCTTTAGATCTGCAAGATCAAATTCAGTTCACAGACCTAAGGGTCTGCATGCAAGTGGACAAGATTTCTGGGACCATGTGATTTTTTGATTTGAAGGCCATTGCAGTTGTGAGTATGAGTAACTATTTCTTTGAATTTGTCCACATAGTTGTCATTGTTCTTCCTAAAATACCCCCATGAATTCGTAATCTTCAACAATTGTTCCAGCAGTGAGCAACTGAGAATTCAACATTGAGATTGTTGAATTCGATCTCCACGTCTTTTCTGTACAGTGTCAAACTGAAGCCCTTAGGCTGGAATGAAGAGAGAAACTAGGCTAGCTTTGAGTGCTTTGATACAAATACTGAACTTCTCAGTCCATTTTTCTATATCTGATTTAACAGTGCGATAACCCAATATGTATTATTTCACCTTTCATCTGAAAAACAAGTAACTGAGGCTCCAGGGACAAAAAAAAATAAATTAATTAACCTCTCTGACTGGACATCTGGTATCTAGGCAGCTATAGCTTGTAGCATTTGGAACAAGTTACGTTTCACAAAAGGTTGAGGCAACACTCTCATGTGGTAAGGTGTTGAAACAGCATATTGGTTTACTTTTAATCTTCCTATCCTGATTTATGGTGTATATGCTTTGTCTCCCAGGAGATATCAGACACCACAGATTTTCAACTGTGAAAGCATGGGTGACCCCTGCTACTTCTGTTTGATTTTATTTCTAACAGAACTGCCATGGGTGCTGACAACAATTGTTAAGTTCACTATTTCATCTTTATTTCATTTCTCTGTGTTATTTTACCTAACTCTTAACATCTGATAGTCTGAGCAAGGTCCTGATGCTGAGAAGGACAGATGTCCCTTCTAGCATCATTGACTTTCACGGGAATAAAACATTCATCATCTTTATCAGAAACCACTACAAATTTGGCAAGAAAGAGTATCCTCCATCCCTCAGAGCTTCAATTCAAGACCAAAAGCAGAGTTCACAGTTTCTATTATAAAAACAGAATAAAAAGGGAGATTTTAGTCTTAAAAAATTTCACTATGAAATTTCACATCAACTATGATTTAAAACGGTAAGTTCCTTTGATGTTGTTCTTTGAAACTGGCATCCTAATCAAGGACTGTAGGTTAAGAAGTCAGGACTGAGAGCGGTACATTATCTAAGATA